ACCCTCCTGGCGGATGTCAATCATCCAGAGTCCCAAGAAGTCTTGGTTAGCAGAGAAGTCTGCCTGCAGCTTGGGATGGGATGCCTCTCTGGGGCCGAATGCCCCCTCCGGCTCTGGCTGTCCCCGCCTGCCCGACTCCGGCGGCGGTGGGCCGGTCCGCAGCCGGCTAGCTCTGTTCTGTGAGCGGGCCTGGCAGTTTCTTGGGTTAGGGCTTTGCCCGGGATAGCTGTCCCACAGTCTGGGCTGCTATCTCGAGTTGGTTCCCTCAGACTGCCCTCAGGGCATTCAGGCCCGGTCCCACCCTGAGCAACGCAGCCCGCGCCTCCCCGCCCAGCCCCCACTTGCTAGTGGGGGATGCAAGCGTCTGGGCTGCTGCTCCACTGGGAGTTGCTGTTAGGCAGCTGATCTGTGGGTTTTAATTATTTATTTATCTATTTATTTTTCCTCCCGGTTATTTTGCCCTCTGAGATTCCAAGGCTCTCCACAGACCCGCTGGAGAGAGTGTTTCCTGGTATTTGGAAACTTCTCTCTTTTTTAAGACACCCTTCCTGGGCCGGATCTCCGTCCCTACCTCTTCTGTCCCTCTTTTTATCTTTTATATTTTGTCCTACCTTCTTTCGAAGACAATGGGCTGCCTTTCCAGGTAGCTGATGTCTTCTGCCAGCATTCAGAAGTTGTTTTGTGGAACTTGCTCAGTGTTCAAATGTTCTTTTGATGAATTTGTGGGGGAGAAGGTGGTCTCCCTGTCCTATTCCTCCACCGTCTTAGGACCGCCCCCCCCAGATCATTTCAATAGATTATTTGTCATTAACTGTAAGATGGGGCTTCCTAGGGGTCGCTAGTGGTAAAGAACCCCCCTGCCAATACAGGAGATGTAAGAGATGACAGAGATGCAGGCTTGATCCCTGGGTCTCCGGATCCCCTGGAGGAGGGCATGGCAACCCACTCCAGTATTCTCTCCTGGAGAATCCCATGGACAGAGGAGCCTGGCAGAATACAGTCCATAGGGTCGCAAAGAGTTGGAAACGACTGAAGCGTCCTAGCACCCACACATGTGATAAGACGATGAATGTTATCTTCATTTCAGTGTTTAGATTATAGGTGCTCAGGAAACTTGCCCATAGTTCTGGAGCTGGTAAATCAAATGTGAGCCCAGTGTTCCCCTAGTCCAAATGCTGCGTGCGCCTTTTACTCGCAAGCATAGGCTTGGATCAGTACATGATAAACCAATAACTGAGCGTCAAGATGTGACTATATTAAAAAAAAGATGTGACTATAACATAATTACTTATGATTCTCTTTAAAGGGTTTACATTTAATATCAACAATATCAGTTTAGATAATATTATTCTACTAACACAAATTGATGACATAAAGTTTAATCAGTTAATCTTTGAAGAAATGGGCTGATTGGTTATTTCATGTTTAGAATATTATCTTTCTATTTAGCCTTTTCTGGTATTGAATGTGGCCCTGCAAATTTTAAAACTATTAGTACTATTAAGGATAAAAAAATTAGCTTTTTTAAATGTAGGTATGCCTGTATATTCTCTAAGTTTAAATATACCCATTTATACCCCCCAGATTCTGTCCAATTTAAGAAAACTATCAAAGGTAGCTTTTAAAAAAATTTGTTTGGCTGTCTTGGATCTTGGTTTCAGCACGTGGGATCTAGTTCCCTGACTAGGGATCGAACCTGGACTCCCTACATTAGGTGCAGGGAATCTTAACCACTGGACCACCAGGGAAGTTCCTCAAAGATAGTTTAAGAAAATGTAATTAAGCTCAAGGCATATGTGTATTTTCCAATAATGCTGAGAGAGAGCAAAACTGGTAAGTATTCATTCTCTCATAAGTCTGTCTGTATACTTGGCTTTCCTGAAAGTGCTAATAACCACTGTTTTTGAGTCCCTGTATTTATCGTGCACTGTTGTGTTGAGCTTTAATCTTTAATCTTATAATTGTCTTTTCTCCTTTGAAAAGACAGGTATTATTATGCACATTTAACAATGAAAAAGCTAACCCAACAAAATCTCACAGCTAAAAACTGATGTAACCATAATTCAGCTATAGGTTATATGATTGAGAAAACTGTCCTTGCCTGCAGAAGGAGGCTCGTAAAATTTGATGCAGGAAAATCCAGAGTCAGGAACTGGCTCTTAAGTTTTGATGTTGCCAGTGATTTCACATGTGATGTCAGACATTCTCTCTGAGTCTTAGAGGGTTAGATGAGATGATATCTAATATCTGTTCTGGCTCAAAACTAACTTCTCTTATATCTACTCTTGCTCCACAAATCACTGGTAATTTGGCAATTACACTGTCATCAACACCTTTGTGTTGAAATGCTTATGTCTACTTCTAAAAAGCTAATAATTAAAATATGTTCATTGTAGCAAATTTGCATAATAGAAACACCTTCAGTAAAGAAAGTAAACAAGCTCCTTCATATTATCACCCAAGAATAATGACTACTGATTGTTCATGAGTTACTGGAAGTAATATGCAGGAGGTATATGAGTATATTGGTGGTACTTTAAAAGATAGTTGGTATCATATTAAATATTCTTTTTTGTGTATTCCTTGTAACACAAAGCAGAAGTCGGTACTTATTTACATGTTATTAAATAATTCTTCAAAAATGTTTTAGTAATTTCAAAATATTTAGTTTGGGCAACAAAGACTCTTTTTCTGAAGTAGGTGATGACTATTCGCAGCCCAGAGTCATGGTAGGTACCTGCCAGGTGAACGAAAGTGCAAGATATAAACCTTGTTCATGCAAGTTATGGCTATTGTTATTTGACTTTTTAAGTCAGTAAGTCTTGAAAATCACTTCTATCACCAATGAAAAATTATTTCTAATAGGCTTTATACTTCACTGAATTTTCTGGTGAAAATTTCAATAAAGGTATCTTATGCTGCTCACCAGTTACATTTGGAATATATACTCCTGACCAGCATACTCTAAATGCTAACTAACCCCCCTTAGCAAAATATTAAAGGATAAACACATACATCACAGTGTTTATACTGAAGCTCTTTAAAGGTTCATTCCTGCTCCTTGGTATAAAATAAAATCTTATGTCCACACACAAGTGTTTGTAGCAGCTTTATTCACAATTGCCAAAATCTGGAAGCAACCAGGATGTTCTTCTGTAGGCAAACAGATAAACTGTATTACATTCATACAATATAATACTATTCAATACCGAAAAGAAATCAGCTACCAAGCCATAAAAATACCTTAAGGAATCTTAAATGCATATTATCAAGTGAAAGAAGCCAATCTGAAGGTTATATAGTGTATGGTTCCAACTATAGGACATTCTGGAAAAGGCAAAACTATTGTAACAGTAAAAAGGTCAATGGTAGCCAGGGGTTAGGAGGGAAAGAGGGGGGAATAGGTGGAACACAGAGGATTCTTCAGGCAGTGAAGCAATTCTGTATGCTACTGTAATACATGTCATTATATGTCTGCCAAAGCACATAGAATGTACAATACTTAAGAATGAACCCTAATGTAAACTATGGACTTTAAGTGATAATGATGTATCCCTCTGGGAGAATCTTGGTTTTATTGGAGAAAGAAGTAGCATCATAGAGGAATGTTTAGAGAACAGGAAAAAATGAGAAAGACACAGCCTTAGCACTTAAAGAAACAGAAGCCTAATATTGGGCCCTGGGCACATAGGGGAGGGGGGCTGGGCACACGGGTTCTTGACTAACACTCACCCCATCCCTGTAAACTGCTCCGGGAGGAGCTGTGAAAGTCGAGATGTGGGAGGCTGATTTCCTGTCAGTGGCAGAAGTGGGCTGGTTCTCAATGGACCAAGCAGCATCTGAAATGACCTTGGCTGGACAAACAGAGTGACGGGAAGGACAGCCCCCTCAGAAGGTGGGGGATGCTCCTAGCTCTCCTCTGTGTCTCCAGTTTCCGGGGTCCCTCACAATCACATGAAAGAATGGACAGGAACAGCAGCAAAGACAGAAACACCTACTGTGTCCTGCCACAATTTGGGGTTCTCTTTAAATATAATTTAAAGCCTCACACATTTTTTATGTCAAAATAGAGGCATTGCAGTGAATCAGGCTTCAGTATCACCTTTCATGTGTAAGCTTTAACCTTACTATTGTATTTTAAAGTAGTGTTTCCTCGTCAGTACTCAAAGTGCTTCTCAGGACTTGCTGTCAATATGCAAAACATTTAGAAATTTGAATTAAGCAGTACCTTGTCGTGTTATCTCTGCCCACGAGTATCTCAGTAAATCAAAAGGTAATTCACTGGTAAATTTCTCAAAATACATGCAAATCGGAAAGCACAGATTTTATTGTCCAGTAGCCAAATCTGTGGCATTATTTTGGAGCAAAGCAAGTATTTCTCTCTAAAATATAGTTGTGGAAGGCTAGTTTATGTCATGACGTCCTCTGGGGTTCAGGTCATGCTTTTCCCCCCTATTTATAACATTCTAGCACCATGAGTTCCCTTCTTTTAAATTTTTACAAATATTGCCTAAAATCCTTATGCTATAGAAAGAGTCTTCAAAGCTAAAATCCTTGCTAATGAGTACATAAACTCCAGTTCAAAAAATAAGTAATAGAGAAAGAGTAAGTTACTTGCATGTGGAAAGTGGAAGAACTCAGCGTGAATTGTGTAGTTCTTTAGGGAGCAGAAGCCGGATCTCAGTGGGGCGTCCCCTGTTCTGGACATTTCAGCAGGCTCTGGGGCCCTGGTTAAAGGGGCAGGAAGACCTTGTTCTCTGTCTTGGTTAGGGGTGGTTGCACAGTTTGATATCAGGAAGTTTAGTTTGCCTTGTTCACTTAGATTTCCCAGAACACTTGGATCCTCATAGCTGCTGTTTTTGTTTTCTTCTTTTAATCCCAAACTGAATTGCCTGTGAGGAATATCAGACTCCCTGCTTGAGCAAATTAATATCTCTGCCTCTGAGAAACACACAAGGTTTTCTGATTCAAAATATCCCCCCTCCTTTTTTTTTTTTTTAAAGTAACTATTTTTCTCCCAGTAGAAGCTCCAGCTTCTTCACAGGGAGAATGAATGAGCAAGTCTTATTAAATTACCTGAAATTTCAGCTTTTTTTTTTTATGATTAAGCATCTATTCTTCAATTTCTCCCCTAAATGCTAGAATCAAAATTTTATACTTCAGTGTTGTACAGTATAACATAAAAAACCACTTATTAGAATATATTTAGTGAAGCTGTGATTTCCATGTTACAAAAACAAGCAAAGTATCACATCCTTGTAAATCACAAGAAGGAAACACTGTTAAACTCTTCATAGGACTTTTTTTTCCTTTTTTTTCTTTTTTATAAATCCATAGTGCCTATAACCTGTGATGTGGATTCACATTTTACAGCCAGAAAGTAGCATGACATTAAAAATACATCGAGACTGGGCACTGCTTCACATTAAAAAAAATCACAAACTTCAATTGATACAATAGAATTTCTCAATCCATGCCCTACACACAAGATAAAGCTGTGGCTGATACAGACTGTTCAGATTGTACATATGAGAAGGAGAAAAGTCTCTTACGCTGTTTAGCATCGCGTTTGTCCCCACTTAATATCTGCTAGACAAATCACAGAGGCCCCCTAGAGGAGAGCAACAGATGATCTCTTTGAAGGTTTTCCTCAGTTCTTGGCTCCGGAGAGCATAAATCAGAGGGTCGATGACGGAGTTACACATGATGAGGATGAGGTACAAGTTAAAGTGGGACATGAAGCAGAGACAGTATGGGTTTTGGGGGCAGGAGATGTAGAATATCAGGTGCAGGAAGAAGGGGGCCCAGCAGACCACGAAGACCCCGATCAGTATGGTCAGCGTGATCGCCCCCTTCATGTTGGCGCCCTGGCGCACGGCGCCGGTGCCTGGCAGGACCGCGATCCTCTTAATGTGGAGTCTGGCCATGAGGAACATGTGGACGTAGAGAGATGCCATGAGAGCCAGCATGGTGAAGAACACGGTGATGAGGCAGATGATCACGGCACTGCTGTCTGAGTAAATGATGAACAAGACGCCCGACACCGTGCAGGCTGCCCAGATGGCGCTGATGATGACCGCCACCCGCCTCACCGTCATGATGTTATGGTACTGGAGCGCGTAGAAGATGGTGAAGTACCTGTCCACCGCGATCGACAGCAGGCTGCAGATGGAGGCAAGCAAGGAGCTACAGATCACCGAGTCAATGACATTGTCAATATTCACCGTGAAACTCTGCGCGTCCGTGTCCGTGCTGTTTAGCAGGGTGATGACAATGGTTTCCGACCCGTTGGAAACACTCACCAGCATGTCAGCCACAGCCAGGCTGCAGATGAAAAAGTACATGGGTGAGTGCAGATTCTTGTTCTTAGCTATGGCCACAATGACCAGAACATTCTCCAACAAGCTGATGACCCCCAGAGTCACGAACACCTCGGGAGAGACAGAGAGCTGCTCGTAGCACCCCCCGTCCGAGTAGCCTTTTGCCAGGGACTCACTGACATTGGCGGGCAGTCCGTGGGCGCTGCGGTTCCAGGAGTGGAGAGAGGTGTGCATTCCATGGGGCTGGGTGGAGTTCATCCTGGATTCAGGCCCCCTCTGGGCTGATTGAACCTCCCGGTCCGGCAGCCTCAGCGACTTTCCCCAGCCTTGACTTGCTCCAAACGAAAGTTAGGCGGCCGAGAGTGGCATGCCTGCTCTGAATAGACATCCCATGCTCCGGAGCTGGAAAGGGAGTTTTCAGTCTCTTTCAGGTGCGGCTCTGGTCAGCATCACTTGGAAATCTCAGGCTGCAAGATGCTCCTTCTCCGTCGAGCCTGCCGCTTGCTTTTTTGTTCTCACTTCCACTTCAACTTTAGTCGGATGCAGGTCTTTGCAGAATAATTTGCCTGGTGGCTGCGCTAGGCTGGGAGCCGGCTGTGTGCGCGCATGCTCTGTCAGCTGCCTCGCAGAGGTAGCAGTTCGCAACCTGAAGCTTTGCTTTGAGTGTCAGAAGCTGCTGCTGATTTTTATGGTGTGTGAAGGGGAAAAAAAAAATGCTCAGAGGGACTCCTCCTCTGCTTCCTTCTGACCAATCCGAGTCCAGTGGAGTCTGTGAGACACTCGCGATGGTCCAGAGACGCAAACTGCAGGCAAGCCCAATTCAGAGGCAGAAGCCTGTGGAGTCGGGCAGCCAGCAGGATGTGAGAGACTAAATTTCCCTCTTCATGTTCTCAAGGAAAGCAACTTGGTTCCCAGAGGACATTCTCTGAGATCTCAACAAGCCATCCTGAGGCACCCAGGTTTATCCTGCTTACAGGAGGGGGTGTATGTTCCTGAATTAGATGCACTGCCTTTTTTGCACAGGGAACTCTCCCTAATGCTCTATGGTAACCAAAATGGGAAGGAAATACAAAAAGTGGGAGCATATGTATACATATGTCTGATTTGCTTTGCTGCACAGCAAAAAAACCCCACAACATTGTAAAAAAAAAAAAAAAACTTGACTCCAATAAAAATTTAAAAAAAGAGAGAGAGAAGAGATGCATGGCCTTTTTGGCCAGGACACTGAATTTATTTACCCTCTCAATTTCTTTGAATTGAGAAGAAAGGCAGTCACACTTCAGTTTGTGACAGCTGACACGCAGAATGTTTAATAATACAAGAGTCTATGCTGTGGATGCAAGAACTAGATAGGCAGTCACAGTTTATACCAGGGCTCAGAAGGAGTTAATTTCTTATGCACTAAGATCAGATATTTCTCCATTGCAGAATTTCTTTTTATCATAGCTAGAAAAGTTTTATTTTCATCTATGACATTTAAAAACCATGTAGTATTAATGTAAATAATGATTACTTTGAACTCAGAAAGAAAAAGATCAATAGCCAGGCAACACTCAGGTTTTTTAAGCATTATTATGGTATAATTGAAATACAAAACATACACATATTTAAGGTATACATTTTAATGAGTTTGGACATATGCATGTATCTCTATGATACATCACAGTCAAGGCACTCAGCATATTCATCAACGTCCAAAAATTTCCTTGTATTCTTTTGTGTTTTCCATTTATGTGTGTGATAATACCACTTAGTGTAAGCTCTATGCAATATATTTTAAAGTGCACAATTTTGTACTATTAACTATAAGCATTGTGTTGGGCAGCAGCTCTCTAAAACCTGTTCATCTTGCATAACTGAAAGTTTATAGCCTTTGGGCAGCAATTCCTTGGCAATGGTCTTGGCAATGATTTCTTGGAATTGACAGACAAATTATAGGCAACAAAACCAAAAAGAGACAAGTGGGATTACATCAAACTGAAAAGTTCCTGAACAGCAAAGGAAATAATCAACAGCGCGTAAAGACGATCTGTAGAATGGGAGAAAATATTTGCAAACCATCTATCTGATTTGGGGTTAATATACAAAATATGTAACTGAATAGCAAAAATGCTAAATAACCTGATTAGCAAAAATTAGCAAAAAAGTAGGCAAAGGGCTTAAACAGACATGTCTCCCAAGAAGACCGAGAAATCACCACCAGATATAAGAAAAGGTGTTCAGCAAAACTCATCATCAGGGAAACGCAGATTAAAACTGCGATGAAGTATCACCTCACACCTGTCAGGATGGCTGTTATCTAAAAAAGAAAAGATAGTAAGTGTTGGTTAAGATGTGGAGAATCTGGAATTCAGTTTTTTGTTTTTTTTTTTGAAGACAGTCTATCTACTTCATTGGAGCTTCCCAGGTGCTCAGGGGCAAAGAATCTGCCTGCCAGTGCAGGAGACACATGTTCAATCCCTGAGTCAGGAAGATGCCCTGGAGAAGGAAATGGCAACCCACTCCAGTATCCTTGCCTGGGAAATCCCATGGACAGAGGAGCCTGGTGCATGGAGGAGTCCATGGGGTTGCAAAGACTCAGGTGCCACCAAACAACTCTGCATTCCAGACGTAACAGGCAAGAGTGAGCCTGGACGGGACAGGCGGCCAAACAACTCTGCATTCAAGATGTAACAGGCAAGAGTGAGCCTGGACGGGACAGGTGGCCAAACAACTCTGCATTCAAGACGTAACAGGCAAGCGTGAGCCTGGACGGGACAGGCGGCCAAACAACTCTGCATTCCAGACATAACAGGCAAGCGTGAGCCTGGACAGGACAGGCGGCCCGTGTCTTCTGATCTTTTCCTTGTCTGCTCTGTCACCTCTTTGTCCTCCTGGAAATCAATCCTAACTACAAGACTGATAACAAGAACTCAGCGTTATTTTTGGTGTGGAGTTTAGGCAATAGCTGTAGGTCCAATCTCAATAAAACAGAGGAAGAAGTAACCTTGGGCTTTCTCTGTGTCCCATCTTGGGGCTTCTCAGGTGGTTCAGATGGTAAGGAATCTGCCTGCCAATGCAGGAGATGTGGGTTCAATTCCCGGGTCGGGAAGATCCCCTGGAGGAGGAAATGGCAACCCGCTCCAGTGTTCTTACCTGGGAAATCACATGGACAGAGGAGCCTGGAGAGCTACAACCCATGGGGCTGCAAAAGAGTTAGGCACAACTTTGTGACTAAACAACAAACCTACTTCATTAATTGAAGGCTTCTAAATATAACTCACACATTCCTTGGTAACTTAATTTATTTAAGCCAAGATGGGTGAATGCTAGTTATACATCAGAATTTCTGAATGTTTTGAAAGATTGTGAGGAAGTTATTTTTCAAATTTAAACTCCAAGTTATGAAATTTTATATAGCATTTTTTCTTGCCATGACTACTTTTGGTTTTATCTCTGTAGAGTTTGTGACTATTGATAATAAGGGACAATAAAAAATACTTGTTTCATAGTTGAAGTCTTCAGTGACTTAGGTAAGGGCTTTATCTTTTTTCCCTTTGGTGACAGAGGCAACATTGAGTATGATTCCTGAGCACCGAGTTAAATGATCATCTTTCATCTATCGCTGAAATTGGGTGGGGCCAGATCCTAACTAATGGAATGTGGGTAGAAGTGAGAGTGTTGTTGTTTCCTTTGTAAGATTCTACACGCTTTCCCTCTGATCTCCTCGTGGATGACTCTAGAATGAAGACTCTTTGAAGCCTCATGGTACAGATGTTAGAACCATATCATGAAGGACCCTAGTCTCTGAATGACTGCACAGAACACAACTCACATCTCCAACTCCCTCCATGCCCTGGCCCACCAACTGCGCTGAACCTTGAAACAAGCAAGCAATAATCATTACTGCGTTAAGCTGCCAAACATTGCTGTTGCCTGTCGCAGCAGCTTGCGTTAACTGCCTTGACTCTGAAACTCATTTCGGGCTTCCTGGGTGGCTCAGACAGTGAAGAATCTGCCAGCAACGTGGGAGACCTGGGTTTGATCCCTGGGTCGGGAAGATCCCCTGGAGGAGGGCATGGTAATCCACTCCAGTATTCTTTCCTGGAGAATCCCCATGGGCAGAGGAGCCTGGCGGGCTACAGTCCATGGGGTCGCAGAGAGTTGGTGATTAAGCACACACACATGCACACATTTACCAGCAGCATATCCGAATTACATGAAAAGTCTTTCCTTCTCCCATGTTGGATTTGTGTGAGTGGTGAAATACTTAATAAGCAAGTAACAGGGAAAACATCTGTTGAAATGTTTAAGCATAAATAGCCAACTCTGTGTAAACTTCCTGAGTCAATGCTTGACTTTATGCTCCCTACTTCTCTTGGTGACATGGTTGTTCCATTTCCTAAGGCTGAAAATTCAGAATATCTTTGACTTGTCCATCTTTCTCAAAAATCCCTACATGAAATCACTTGTAAAATACCTTCATTTCTGTCAGTGTGTCTGACTTCTTTTTCTCCTTAAAAAACTCACTTGTCACTATTCTCCTTCATGGAAACTTCATTGCAGTCAAAAATTCAATGTAATATTGCATGCATCCTAGACAGTTTCTCTTGAGTCTAGTCTATTCCCCCTGCATATAATGTGCTTTACCTGCATTTGTGAATGCATAGTCATCATTATGTTGTAAAATTATTAACAGACATATTATATATATATATATAATTATATAATAGGTAAAATTAGTATTGATGGCAAAACTCTGTTTATTTTGGTTTTTCACCAAAAAAAAAAAAGATTTAATTTGCAGGCATTTTAATCATTGAAATCCCAGAAAACTATATACATTTAAAATCTCAAATTCAATTACTTGATGTAGATTTTATAAAACCTTGATTATATGGTTAATCATGCTGGAAAGATAACATTTCGCCATCTCAAGGAGGAATTTAAATTGTCTGACAGAGTTTAGTTTTGTAGAAGCCAAAGAAATACAACCATCAAAGCTAGACCCATTAATAGTATTTTTGAAAATTTATTGCAGATTTCTTTTTTCTAAGTACACACAAAATTGAGTTAATCATAATATATTTCTCCTCTGAGCATAGTCCTTGTTTTACATTTTGTAACAATAAATATGAAACATTGCTAAAGAAAAGTATTTATCAGACTGTGCTACACAGACTACTATTTTTAGATGTTAATGTTATTCCTACCACAGAATAAAAGGTCAAAGAATTTTGGAAAGCATTGAGAACTCATTACCTTCTTGAAGTTGCAGAGTTTACATTAGCATGTAAACTTTCTGAAATTTCTGACTAGAAAAAATTCAGTGTTGCTTAATCCATTTATTTCCTGAATATAGAAAACTACTAAGATACTATTGTGTGTGTGTGTGTGTGTGTGTGTGTGTGCTAAGTTGCTTCAGCCATGTCTAGCTTTTGCCACCCTATGGACCATAGCCCACCAGGTTCCTCCGTCCATGGGATTCTCCAGGCAAGAATACTGGAGTGCGTTGCCATGCCCTCCTCCAGGGGATCTTCCCGACCCAGGGACTGAACCCGAGTCTCCTATGTCTCTTGCATTGACAGGCCGGTTCTTTACCACTAACGCCACATGGGAATCCCAGGATACTACAACAGTAGCCCAAATAAGAGTCTGTGAAGATCTGAGGTCAGC